TGTGACAGGTAAGAAATATAAACAATATTACCCGATTTGGTAAATAAACAATTCATCGATCTTTTGAAAAAAATAAGCTAAATCGCCCACTTTTTACAAAATTTTTCCTGAAAAAAGAAGTGGAAGACAATAAAAATGTGTGAGGTTCTTCTGTAGGTTTTATAGTTATATACTTGGTTCTTCAGAACAATACTATCTCAGCAAGAGCAAATCTACTCTTGCTTCTAGAATAAACCTTCTAGTTTGAATACCAAATATCTCAGAGAGTCTATTACAACAGGGAGAACAAAAACTTGATTCCAGGAAAAACCACTCAAATTACACCTACTTCTTAGTATTTCATATCTTTCAAGCTTCATTGACAGCAATCTGTTTAGAGGTAAGTTCAGTTCTCAGAATACTCTTTTGGTGTGGATACCAAATATCTTGAGGAGTCCACCACTAGTGAAGAGCTTGATCCCAAGAAAAACCACCCAAGTTACGCCCACTTCTAGTGTTTTACATTTACAGGCTTTGTTGACAACTGTTTACTCAAAGACAAACCTAAAATAGTATTTATCTTGGAACTTTCTATAGCATTTTCCTGTAGTTCAGTTTTTGTTGTGTTGTCTAGAAGATTATTAGAAAAAGTTGGTTGATTAGTTAAGAACAAAAAAAATTAATAGTATATAGTTAGACTTAAATGTTTAATAAAATAAAAAAAATTAAAACTATGAAATATACAATTACTTGTTTAGCTCTAAATAGAGTAAATGCAAATCATTCGATTTTACAAGTATTGTTCTATAGGTAATTGCAGGTAGATTAAAATTAATAATACAAAAATAGAAATCAGTTCTTCAGAATCAGGATCTAATTCTATATATACAGAATTGTATAATGATAATAGCAATTAAGATCAAATAATCATGAGAAAATAAATTACTATATCGCATATTAAAAGTTAAACTAACAATCTTATATAGTGATACAAAATATAAAAGCAAGTATTACTTCAGATATGAAAACATAATATGCGAAGTTTTAATATGCTTTACTTTGCCATATGTATATGTTGTGCTTCAGATGCATCCTTGCGTCAGATGCAATCTGACGCACATCAGATGCTGATTTTCAGGTGATGCGCATTACTTGTCGATTGGTCATCTGACGCAAGATCTTTAAAATCTTCAAAAAATATAATAATGTCATTACGAAAGATGTAGTAATAACGTCATTATAAATAAGAGCATAAAAAGCCTTTTTGCTCTTATCTTAATTTTTTTTTTTTTTTGTATGATGGTTTGTTTTACCTTTAACAGCTAGCATACTTTTTTTTTTATTTCTTGTTGGTTGGTTGGTCTTGGTTCCACATTACCTTAATTCTTGGTGCCCACTAAAACATTAGACGTTGGATTTATTCTTGGTGCCTACTAATATATTGGATGTTAGGTTTGTTCTTTGTGCCCACTAATAATACATTGGACGTTGTACCCACTAATAATACATTGGATGTTGGATTCATTCTTGGTACCCACTAATACATTGGACGTTGGATTAATTTTTGGTGCCCACTAATACATTGGACGTTAGATTCTTGTTGCTTACTAATATATTGGACGTTGAATTCATTCTTGGTACCCACTAATATATTGGATGTTGGGTTTGTTCTTAGTGTAATAATATATTGGATGTTGGATTCATTCTTAGTTCCTACTAATATATTGGACGTTGGGTTTGTTCTTGATGCCCACTAATATATTGGACGTTGGATTCATTCTTGGTGCCTACTAATATATTGGACGTTAGGTTTGTTCTTGGTGCCCACTAATACATTGGACGTTAGGTTTGTTCTTTGTGCCCACTAATAATATATTGGACGTTG